TCTCAGAATCACTTTATTGCACAAGTTTTGGAGAGAGGGAAGTACCTGGCTGGGAATCAAGGAGTCAGGGGCAGGCCCCACGCAGGTGAACCCCTTAGGGGCTATTGCCTGGGGGCAGGATTCCAGGATCTGGGGCAGATGAGGGTGATGGCTGAGGCTGCTGCCTCTGGCTTTGCTCCTGCTTGAGCCTGGCTCTGTTGGCCCTGCAGGAGAAAGCACCTGTGAGGTGGAGTGGGGATCCCTGAGGAGGTGCCAGGACAGCGAGGAGGGGGCAGGCTAGCGCAGGGACAGACCTGGCTCGCGCCCGGGTTTCATTGTAGATGGCCGTGATGATCCGATCCTTTTCATCCATGAAGCTGCGGTGCATCTGCTCTAGCTTCCTGCAAGGAATCACACGGACCCTGGATGCCCCAATCCCCGCTGTGTAGGATCTCACACCTTTACATCTGTGGGGACCTCAGCCTAACCCTGCTGTGCTAGGTTAGGGAGGCTGGCACAGAACAGCCATCCAGTTTGTCCAGAGTCCAGTGGTGACCTAGGTCCCTGGCCATCCTGCTGAAGGTGACAGCAGCTGTGAACATCAGGGTGAACCTCATGGAAGGCTTCTCGACAGGGGCGTACAGCTAACTCTATGGTTGAAGCAGGCAGGCTGCTAGCAGCGGGGACTGGCCTCTGGGGGTCTGTGCTGTAGAACCTCAGCAGCCGGCGGCCACCCGAGTTGCTAGGAGACAGCTGAGCCCTAACCCAGGCAGGATGAGCCCTGGTGAGGCCCAGTTATAACGCATCTCCTTCTGGTGCACAATTATGGTTATTCCAGCCTCCCTGGCAGCCAGCATGGAGCTTATACTTGAACTGTAAAAACTGAAAATGATGTTGGCCCTTGGTGCCGGCTGTTCTAGCCAAGAAAGAGGCTCCAGAGACCTCTATTTCATGCCATTCTTGGCTTGTGAGACACAGGGGTACAGGCCACAGGTGGTGGGGGTGGACTGTTGACCAAAGGGGGCTTCACCCACCCTCCTGCCCCTCTGCTCATCAGCCCAGAGGCTGCACCTGAAGGCAACATAGTGCAGGCCCATGCCCGCCAGCATGATCAGGAGGCAGTACCCCAGCACCCGCAGGTTGTGCTTGTGCTGCTGCTGCCTCAGCTCTGGCCCCTGAGGCCTCACGCCGTGGAACTGGGCCCAGTATCGGGCATCGGGGGGTTCCCAGGAGCTGCTGGGAGGGAGAAGAAGGGACAGTGTGGGGATGAGTCTGCCCAGGAGGCTTGGCACAGAGGGGAGCTGGGTGCAGGACTGCTATACCTGTGTGTCTGATGGGCAGGCCTGGGCTGGGTGCTGGTAGTTGGAGCCCTGGGGGGCGTCGCTGAGCGGAGCTGCTGGTCATAGGAGCGGCGGCTCTGCTCTCGGCTGAGCACCTGGTATGCCTCACTCAGCTCCACAAAGCGGCTGTGCAGGGTCGGGTTCCCAGGATCCCGGTCAGGGTGCAGCTGGGTGGGGCAGGACTCCCCTCATCTCCCTTGTCTATGTTCCTGCCCAGGGCCTATCCCTAGCATGCCTACCCACCAGGCCTCAAATCATTCCCAAATCTACCAGCCCACCCCCCCAGGGCTGTGACTTTGGTTCTCAGATCTGCCCACCCCTCAGAAGGCCAGAGGCAGGCAGGGATTGCTGTCCTCCCCCCAACCCCTCCCCCCAGCCTGGCTCTCACTATGCCTTGATCCAGGTAAGGTAGGCAGGTGGAAAGACCCAAGCCAGACCCATCTGACAGGACCAGTTCCTGCTCCCAACATTTCCTGGAGAGGCATTTGCCCATGGGGCACCTCACTCACCCCATGATGCTGATGAAAATATGGTCCAAGCCAGATCCACTCCTGGGAACTTGGAGTGTACCCCATCTGGCTCAGACTTCCCTTCTCCCTTGCACCCTGGGGCCTCTGGTACCTCTTTGGACTTAGAGAAGAAAGCTCGTTTAACTTCTTCAGCACTGGCACCAGGATGCACCCCCAACAGTTCATAGTAGTTACTGGGGCCAGACCTGTAGAGAGAGGCCCTACAGAGGCTAGGGGGGCCCAGAGGATGCCCCCTCTTTGTCCCTCCAGCTTTCCCAGACCACACCCTTCAATGCAACCAGGTGCCAAGGGCAAATGAGCCCCCCCTTGCTGAGTGTTTTGGGTAAGGTCAGGTCTGAACATCCCAAAGTGTGGCCCCCCTTTACATTAGAAACAATAGTAAAGCTTGTTTAAAAAACATCCCTGAGCACCACCTCATTTCCTGGCATTGCCAAGGAATCTGTATTTTCATTTCCT